CTTTCCCTGGGCAACCAGAGGACAGAGGGAACAGGACAGAAGAGGTGCGGCACTCACCTGGGTTAGGCTGGAGGTACTCTATTGTTCTGGTCAATACTTCTGTAACTGCCTTGCTGGTCAGATCCACTTTCTGTAGGAAAAACAAGAAGATCCACCGGCCGTGAGTTCAGCTCAGGGCCTTGGAAGGGTCACAGAGCGGATAGAGGGGCGACTGTAGAGATTTCTCTCATTCTCCTACTCACCTTTTCCATTTCCTTGAAGTCATCATCGAGCTTGGTCCCTTCAGCGCCTCCAACCTTCTCACTGACCAGCTGCGGAAACAGAACAAGGGAGAAGGAATCAGGCACACTAGTGGCTCTCCACTTAAAACTCCTTATACTCGCTCCCGTCTCCTAGTTTAGGTTAACGCAGCTGTCATTCAGCGCCTCTGACCTGCACTCAGCTTCCACAACAGAAACGCACACGGCTCTGATAACACTGCCCCATTAAAAATCCAACCATCTCCTACCTCAGCAGCATCTAACAAGACACCTTCAAAATTACTCTCTCAAAGCACAGCTCAGCCCTCAGACGCAGGCTGGATATTCTTTACCCACAAAAGCTACAGAGCTCCTTAAATCACACCACACAGCTCCAACTCCAACGCTTGCTGGAAAAAGCAAGTAGGAGAATGTGTCTCGCGACTCCATTTTGAGACAGGCTTCAGTTTCACACAAGGCAAAATGCAAGTAAACAAGGAATCAACACAACTCGACTCGCAGCAGCCAATACAAGAACCGAGTCCAGAAAGAGCTGAGACCTCCCAAAGCCCTAAACCACAGCGCCTTGCAATCCAAACAGGGAGAGCTGCTAGGGGAGAAGCCGGAGGAGCTCAGGAACTAGGGCACTGTATTTTGAATTCTTTTCCAGCAGAGGATAAAGAGATCTGCGGAAGCTATAGTGTTTTCAAATCCCTTTATCAAAGTGCCTCTGATGCCTGTTCTAAAACAAGGGAAAAGGTGAGATGTTCGACAAGCTGTGAAGACAGGCCTGCTTTTGACTGTCCAGGTGAAGGGCTTATCTGCTTTCTTCAAAAGGTTACTTGGTCTAAGAAAAGACCCCCCTCCTCTCCCTAAGCCTCACCTCTCAGCTGCCCTAGCTAAAAATATTTGCCAAAGGTGCATTATTAAACGCACCTAAAAGAGCATCCCTCCATATAGCCCAAACGGGGAGGAACATTTCTGTCCCAGCTCCAGTCCAGCTTGGCGAGGCAAGTGGCAGTGCTTGGGGAAGCAGGACAGACTGGCTGAGCCAAACCTGGCCTGCAACACACCCGCAAGAGTCATTGTGTTGCCCCAAGCTGGTGCACGGATAGCAAATTACCTACAAAGACATCAAAAGCGGTCTAGGAAATATCTGCCGACTCCAAAGCGCTCGGTGCCTGCCACAGGGCACTGCAGGATTTCTCATGTTTGTAGTTAAAACTTCACTTGTGGATGAACAATACGCGTTTGTTTACTTCAACATCAAATACTTGATTTTATCAAGTGTTTCTTCCTCTGGCAACCTCCTGCTCCCCTGGGGATTCAAACTGGTTCCTTATTTTTTTGAGGAAGAGAGGAAAAAAAAAAAAACTTAGGTAATCCTCCCGTTTCCAAAGCACTTGGAGAGACCACGTCAGCCACGCTGCCCTGGGCGCCCGCTCCTGTGCTTAGCCCCAAAATCAAGCTGCCAAAGCGGGGGACGCGCAGAAGAAATGATTGTCCTTACGAAGCAGAGAAGAACAAGGTCTTCAAAGCTTTGGCCAAAATCCCATTTCCAGACCCCAAAAAACAGAGAGGAAAAACAAAAAAAAGCCAACGCTGTTCCAAGACCTCCGGGACAACAAGCGCCAGGCCGTGGCGCTGAGCACGTACGCCGGCGCTCAGGGCACGGCTCCGGCTGATAAGTCGCTTGTGTCTCGGTGGTTAGAAGCCTGCAGCCAGGCGAAGCCGCAGAGGCAGCGCGCACAGACAGAGGAAGAGGCTCGGCGAGAGCAAAGAGCCCTTCTAAATGACTGCTCAGCGCTGAGCAACGGCAGCATAAATCACTGCGGGGCCAAAAACCCCTTCGGAGCAACAGCTCAGCAAGGCTGACAAATACGGGAACGGCCTTTCTGGGCCTCACCAAGGGAAGCTTTTTCCCCCCCACCCCTTTCTGAGGAAGCGCAGTTCAGCAGAGGTCCCGAGAGGCCACACAAAGAGGGATTGCTGCGTTTCACCCCTGACATTTAGATACCGGGGGAAAGGAAACGATTGCTGCTTTCCTGGTTTGCTCGACACAGCTCTCGGCTCTGGATTTCGTCCTTCTGCTTAATCCTCGGATAGGTCTTCACACGTCCCCGTGTGCCCAACCCCACAAAGGTGCGTGCACGCTACCGGGAGCGGCAGAGCCCTCCTGATCTCATCGGCTCTTTCCTGCTGCCTGGAAAAGGGGGGCAAAAGTGCAAGGAAAGCAGGAGCCCCCCAGCACGGATCTGTGGATAGAGCGAGGGCAGGTCAGGACGGCCCAGCCCCGGAGCCCGCCACAGCGAGTCCGGCGAGCGCCCGAGAGGGGCTCGATGGGGTATGATCTTCCCATAGTCGCTTGCAGATGGGCACAACATCAGAGCTCGACTTTGTGCTTTTTTTGGACGCCTGCTCCGCGCTCAGGGTGCCAGCACACGCTTTGGCGAGCCAGCTGCGAGCCGGGGAGGTACCCGCACGGCGGCTCCCGAGCAGGAAAAAACACAAAGCGGTTGCTCTGCCTTGCAGGCCCCGGGAGGGTAAGTTCACCAGAGCAAAAGACGCTGGCTCCCGGCTGCGATCGCCCGTTCCTGCGCTCTCACGCCGAAAGGCCGCTTGTCCTGCAACCTCCACAGCCAGAAAGGGGCTTCCCGCATGTCCGAGAGGGGCTGAAATCACTCGCACAAAGGCTGCACCTCTGGAAACCTCCTTTATTTTGTAACGCACCTGGGAAGGGTATGATTATCCCGTGCAATTCCATTCCCGTTTTCCTCCGCCCATCCACCCACAGGTTTCCGTCCCAGAAGGCTGTAAATACCCCCTCTGACAGGGAGCTCTGCTGCAACCAGAGGCTGCATGCCACGTCGAATGCATTGATCGCCACCGTGATTTCGGAGGCTTAACACCCTCCCAGAAAGCCGAGAGACGTGAGGGAGGAAAACTCACTTGCAGGCTAATTTAATCCTCCTTTTGACGTCCAAGAAACGCTACTGGTGCCCGGCTGTGAGGGAATAATAAGACTGAGGCTCCTCCAATTAAACTGGGAGGCTTCATCACGGGAGGAAAGGAGGAGGGACCGTGTGCCATCCACAGCAGCTCTCCGTCCCTAGCCCCACGCTCCCAAATCCGTCAGGCAGGAAGACAAACTAATGCAAATTCCCCCACCGCGCTGGCCGAGACACGAGCCAGGAGAAGCCCTCGCTGGTGCCACGTTTAACCTAGAGCTCCACAATCAGAGGCCAGATTTCCAAGTGCCACATTGCGCCTCCCATCACAGCGCTTGCAAAGAGCCTGCAAACGCTGGCAAGCACGCGGCGGCCGCCTTTCTCTGGGGAGCAGGGGTGAACAGCAGCGTTAAGTTCACCCTTTGCTTGCAGGCTGGGAGCAGAAGGAAGTAGCCACACGTTGACACAGGGCCCAGCTTGGCCTAAACGAAGCGGTGAAACGCTGCCGGCGCCCACCTCCGCACAGCTTCCTCCATGGAGCAGCTCCGGCACCTTTTTGAGGATGCAGAGGAGGTGAAACGGGGATGATTCTTCACCGCTTTATTTCTTAAGCTGCCAAGCAAAGGCTTGGCATAGGCCAGTCTCCCCCCGGCTGGAGACCTGACCTCTCTCAAATGCTAGAGCCGGACAGAGATGAACCCAGGGAAGGGACAGTGCAAGGCAAGACATGGAAATAGTTAACTGAACTCAGGGGCCCAAATAGTCTCTCTTAGTCTTACGCTTCCCAAGTGCATCAGCCGGCTCGGTGTGAAAGATGAGAACAAGTCTACGCTCTCGGGTTTCTTTAATCTCCCCCCGCTGCCGGGATGGGATGCGCACCAAAACGATAAACCTGCCGCAAGCGCTGCTGCGGCGCAGAGAGAGGCAGGGCACAACTGCGGAGCCAAAGCCCTCAGCCGCGCTCCACAGCCGCCAAAGCCGAACGCTTCCTAGAGCAAACATTAGCACAAGACGATACAGCTGGCCATTACGGACCAGTGAGATAAAACTGCTTCAAAACAGGACGGCTGTTTACCTGCCGTCACAACCCAGCGAAGCCGCAGGGAGGGGGAAGAGGGAACGAGCAGGCGGCGCGCACGCGTTGCAGCGGAGGAGCTGGGAATCAATTCCTCACTTCGCATCTGCCTTTAATTAAAAGGACACTGCCAGTTAAAATGGGCCCTAGATAGCTGTGACCTGAGATCAGAGGGCAGGGAGGTGCGCTTAACGCGGTCCTGGCGCGCAGCCCCCGCGCCGTGCCTGGGCGCAGCGGCTCCCATCCCCCGCCAATGC